AGAGCCGACCGCGGTCGCCCAGCAGGCGGCGGATGCCCAGCAGGCGACGGCTGCCGCGCAGGCGACCGCCGCTGCGCAGGCGACGGCGGCGGCGCAGGCCCAGCAGGTGAGGAGGCGTGAAGATTACATTTTGTGGACGAGGGTTAGAGTCGTGTTTAGAGCAACCCCCCCGCCCCCGTTTTTTCCCTATTTTTTTTCAGTGTACAGGGTGTGAGGAGTTTTTTTTTTAGTAGAGGTATCTATCGTCAGAGGCGCTTGCCCGTCGCAGTTGAACCGCCCCCCGCAGGGCCGCAGCCGCCGCTCTTTTGTAGAGTTTTTCTATTGGGAACGGTTTGAACGCGCGTGTTGCGCGGCAGCGACCCCATCGGCGTGCATGTCCAGCGACGTTGTCGGCAGCACGTTGCGGCTGGTCGGAGCAGCAACAACGTGCTGCCGACAACGTCGCGGCTGCTGCCTCCAAGGACATGCTCTCCGAAGAAGCCGCTGCCGCACAAAACACGCGCGTGAAAGTCGTTGCTCAGGAACAGCTCTAAAGGGCGGCTGCGGCCAGTATGTGTTGCCTTGCTCTACCTTTGCTTCTACTGACTTCTGGGCAGCACAGATCCTATGTCTCCTTTTTTTTCTTTCGAAACCAGCACGAATTACTGGTGAATAGCCTCTATCCACAGAACACGAATTAATCTCTTTTATGTATTCGTAGAACACGAATTTATCTCTATCCACTATCCACAGAACGCGAATTTGTCTCTATCCACAGAACGCGAGTTTATCTCTATCCACAGAACAAGAATTAACCCCTATCCTCGGATATGCAATCCATAGATAATCAATGGAATGTCATTGGTTGTCTTGACCTACAGCACTACCTGTGCTTTCTACTTATCTCCCGGCGGCACACACACGCAGCAAATGATATGCGCATCACCTCTGAGCACATTTATTTGCCATACATCCTCGGACCGAAAGACATTGTACTGTACGTATCTGGTATGCTGGTTAGATGTGCATCATTGCCCCTAGGCAGGAGCTATATGGTGGTGGCACTGCTGTTGACGAAAGATTATTTAGGAGAAAACCACGGAGTTGAGACGGAGTTTTCGGTTTGTCCCAAGCGTAAGAAAAATTGAGGTTACTTTTCACGAAGCGGTCACGCGCAAACGGGGCGACTCGGGGGTCGCTTGGATCATTACGCGCCACATTACACAGCAGTGCGGTTTAAGAGAGAACCAAATTCGAGAGGGCAATACTGGCTTGTGTCCGACCCTCTCTTGGACCATAGCCATCCCCGCTGCTGTGTCCTGGTTTCCACACCGCCTTTACTTTTCTTTTCCTTAGTCCACCACTGCCGTATCCTGGTTTCCACATGTCCTTGATTTTTTCTTGTCCTTGCCGACGTGTAGGCGCAGGCCGCGGCGGCTGCGGAGGCGGAGAGGGCTAGGGCGGAGAGGGAGCGACTCGAGGCGATGGCAAGGGCAAGGACGGCCGCTCAGAAGACGCGCGGTGAGATGAAAGAGAGGCCGGTTGTTGTGTGTTGTTGTTGTTGTTGTTGTTGTTGTTGTTGTTGTTGTTGTTGTTGTTGTTGTTGTTGTTGTTGTTGTTGTTGTGGCTGTTGTTTTTACTGCTGTTGCTGTTGTTGTTGCGATGGTATTGCTGTTGTTGGCGTTGGCGTTGTTGTTGTTGTTGTTGTTGTTGTTGTTGTCTTCACATTAAGAACGGTCCCGGACTCCGTTCTAAATCACCCCTCTCGTGTCTTTCCTACGTACGTACGCGAATGACATCACCCGTGTCTTTCCTACGTGCGTACGAAAATGACGTCACGCACACAGCTGAAGCAGACGCTGCGTCACTATCTCCTCCCGCCGCCGGAGTCGCAGCAGCAGCAGCAGCAGCAGCAGCAGCAGCAGCAGCCGCCGCTCCTGCCCCCGCCCCCAACACCACCGCCGCCACTACCGCCGCCAACACCACAGCGGCGGCTGCGGCCGCTGCTGCCGCATCCACCGAAGCAGCTGTGGGCACCG